AGGAGTGTCTTGCTAAAAAGTCAACTGAAAGTATTGCCAGTGACAATCTAGTAGCAAACAACAGCAAAGTACAATTTCAGAGTAGTTTCAGCCATTTGTGTTTACTGTTTGCTCTAGAGAACAGTTTGCGTTTCATTTCTGAATATTTAAAAAACTAATTTGAATGAATGTTTAAGTAAGTTAGTATGCTTTCAGTTCCTTTTAAGTAAGTCTAAAAAGCTACAGATTTTACAGAATATAGAGCTAAAGCTTATCAAAATCGCAATATCTGTCAAAATATAAATAAATAAATATTTCGCAATTAGATATTTTCCCCCAAATGGAACAGCCATACTAGTAACAACACACTGACAAGCGATGCTCAAGTTAAGTCTTACGAAATACTCTCAACAACAAGGTAAAAGCAGAAAAGATGCTTGCACTCTCAATATTGATAGTATGACCTTTTTCTTCTCACTTTATGTCTCTGTCTGTCTGTGCCATGGTGGACTAATTAAATGCTAAGCTGACTCTAGTGGAGGTGTGAGGTGCACCTGAGCTGTTGTCGTCAATGGTTCAGTAACCATCTGATCTCTTTTGCTGATGACCGGGTGCTGGCGTCCATCATGTTTGTCTCATTACCTCCATTTCATTCTTGGACAATTTTCCCTCCGGCAGCCCGGGGGCATCAAGGCAACTAACCACTCTCACTCGCTCACTCCTGCTGTTTATTGGTCCCCCTGCATCGGTAATTAACCACTGTGTGCTCACATGTATATTTTCTACACATAGCTCGAAATAAGATGCTTGAGCAACTTAATTTAGTTATACTAGTGAGTATAATGTTTTTCGATAGACAGACAGACAAATAGGATAATGAAAAAATATTTTATACAAATCAATATAGATTCATTATGATATGAAAAAAGAGAAGTTATACATTTATTTATTGTTTATTTTACTTATTTTATCTGTCTGTGATTTTTACAGTAAGGAACATAATAATTTAGAGTTATAGAAAGACTAGTTTAACCTGAAGTAAATCTGCCTTTCCTGTTTCAATAAACTTGAAGATATTAAATCATTTACCATTCAAAACCACATTACATCAGTGAAAGTTTTTGTTACCATGGTAAATGAGATGTTAATAGCAGATCGGCCCAAGACAAACAGTTGAGTGTTTTTTAAATATATACTACAGCGTTGCTGGCTTCAGTGGTGTGTGCATGTGTAGGTACAGACTTCTACTGCTTGCATTTAAGTTCTTGGTAGGCCTGGTCATGACAGTAAATGTTAACCACAGTCTATACTCTATATGTGATGGCACTGCATTGCAGAAAATTCTCACACTCTGGACACTCATTTTGAAGCCTATTTTACCATTTTAAGAAGTGTCTGTCTACAGCAGTCATCAGGCTAATTAAGGGCTCTTGAGCTTATCATTTAATCTTACAAATCAACTTGGCAAATGGAAATGAACAATATAGTTGTTTTTTCAGAGACTAAGACTCCTCCTTCCTTGATTCGGCTTATCTGGCACTTTTCCCATTGCTCACTTCCTCATCTTCCTTATATTTAAAAAGTAGTCATGGTAAAAAAAAAAAAAAACACTTCACCCACAATAAAGTCTTTTTCTTGCTGGTCTAACATATTAGCAGTACATAAACTGATTTGTTTAATGGTTTGTGGCTTTGCGTGCGCTACTTTGACAAGCAACTCTGGAAATATCATAAAATCTCTGTGCAAGTATAGACAGTAGTGTGTGACAACCACTGTTTAAACTAATTGTTTGAATATAATCTATGAAGCAGTACTTCGATTGTAATCTGACCTAAATCAATAATCTGTCAAACTATGGCAGTTTTCTGGTTGAGAAAGCAGAGCTTCTTGTGTGTTGAATGGCATCATGAAACATACAATTACTTCTTGTGCCCACAGCCTGACATACTTAAGTCATATTTAATTGATTCCTTGTGTGAAACTCGGTTCACCATTAATGAATCCAAACTAAACAAAAGCAAAAAAATAATTTGTTATGCGGCAGCAATTAACCAGAACGTCAGACATCTAAACAGTTATAGAAATAGATCTTTCACACCTTCCGTCTTACTTAAAATCATTGCTCAGTTACATAAAATATGTTGAATGATAGATATTGAAAGAGAGTGAAATAACTGTTTCAAGAGGACATGATAAATGTTACTTAAATAACATACACAAGATTGTGCTGTGATTGGTCTGAAAATAATTTACTTACTGAAATACTTAAATTTAGATCCTGAATTAAATGGGAATCTGATTGTCATTTTAACTAATTGGCTTCTGCTTGTAACATATATTGGCCAATTAAAGCATGCTAATGTCACTTAATTGTTTACCTTCAAATTAACCTTGATATTCACAATTTTAATACATCTCCTCTCATATGGTTATCATTAAAAATGATTAGATGCACAGCACATCGGTGTCTTATTCTAAAGAGGTCTGTGTGGTTGTAAAAAGCAGGCCCGGATTGGCTAATCGGGAGGACCGGGAGAATTCCCGGTGGGCCGGTCTGTTTTTTGGCCGCGAGGGCCGGTGTTCCTAGCTCCAGAATCTGTTGCTCTCAGCAGTCACACTTTTTAAAATTTATTTATTTATTTACTTGACCACAGCCTTCTTATTAATTATTTTACCGCAGCTCTGCTCTTTTTATCTATTTTCTGCAGCCTGCAGGTTAATGATGATATAACTAGATAAGTCACTATTCAATGTATAGTTGTTGTGGTACAGTGGTAAGCACGTTAGGTTATGACGCCACCAACCCGGGTTCGTACCTCATCTGAATAACAATTTTTTTTTTTCATTTTTATTGTTAAGACATATAATACTGTTAGGGTTGTTGAACATTTGAAGTTCTAAAACAGCTGTTTTCTCAAAAAAAGACGTGATACTGTAATTAGAAACTGAATTGGAAATGACCTTATTTTATTATAGTCAGTGGTGAACTGAGGTGGGCCGGTCTAAGGCTTGAAACTCCAGGGCTGAAAAAGAGTCCCACTCCGGCCCTGGTAAAAAGTCTTTGAACAGAGTTTTGCTCGGGTCATTTCAGCCCACACATCAGAGCCCTATAAGATATTCTTTCAAGTGTCCTTCTACGACGCCAAAGATGACAACAGCGAATCGATAACGAGGCAGAAATGAAAAGAAGCCGCCGGTCTGCCCCCGAGGCATGAAGATCTTCGAGCGACCCCTTTTTCTGAACTTAGGGCATTCCTTTGCAGGCTTTTTCAGCGTGAGAAAGCAAAGGCTCCAGCTGCTGCCAGATGAAGGTAAAAACGATGCAAGGACGCGTCTCTCCCACAGAATGGATGAGGCGGGTGATTCAATCAAAAATAGATATAAATACGTGCTTTTCCGATACTTTAAATCAACTCAGGTTTATACAAAAATCCTTATGTCATTTAATTTGGATGTCTAAACGGATATTTGGATCTGTGGAGATTTAAGAGGTTTAGTCTATATAGTATATTTGTGTAGGGTTGTCAGATTACCTTTTGATTGATAATTCTTAATGTCTTTAAAACATTAGGGATGATTTTCTAAAGAAAATAATACATGTGTATTTAAAATCTTTAAGATACATTTATTTACGGAAATTGGGCGGTGAATTGATCATATTATCCTACTTATTAATCTTTATTAAAACGAAAATAATGAAAAAGGCAATATTTAAGAATTCCTAAATATTTTAGCATTATGAAGTAATAATTTGTATACTGAAGTTGTGAGCGTCGATTTTAGGGTCAATTCGCTTTTTTATTTGCACCAAACAAAATAAATGCGTTTTGTTTAATTTATTTCTATCGCGTAATGCAGTACATAATTTCCGTCAACGCGCAAAATTATGGACAAATGTGCATGTCATTTTTAGGCTCCCAGGCCTATTAAAGCTCTGGTAGAGAGACTGGGATATTCCAATACAGGCTTGGGAATTCCCCCATGGCCGAGCGCATTAATTACTTGCTTAATGGGTGTATGACCCACAATGTAAAAAACGGATTATGCGCGTGAAACCTCCGTCCGGTCTGCTTTGCTCGTGTGAGATGCGCATGGAAATCAGTCCGGTGCACGCGGATCTTTAAAGATCATTTGCATCCAAGCCAGCTGTTCAATTCATCTCTAAACCTGACCGACACAGTTTGAGCACATGCACTTTTCAACATAAGTTGCTATTTTAAATTAAAGCCATGTTTGATTTAAAAATTAATCGTCTAAACAAAATTAAATAGGACAACCCTACCCATTCTGTTGTCAGCTGATGATTAACATCATATTTGCATATAGGCCTTCTCATATTTAAATAAAAGTCTAGAATGTCACAACTGATCGTATCCTAATAAACAAATTACAATGATTTTAAATATTATTCTACATTATTATTGTTGTTATTAATATTATAGTTGCATTTACCACGTTACGATATTGAGAATTTTGTCTTGTGTTAGTCCTTCCAAACAAAATGCAAACAACATATGTAATGCAATATATATATATGGGAATATATATATATATATATATATATATATATATATATATATATATATATATATATATATATATATATATATACACTTTTATAATGTGTTCGTAATTATCTGACCAACATAAAGGTAAGGCAAGAGAGAATTGACAATGGAAAGGGGAGAGAGAATGAAACATTAACTGCACTTATATTTAATCTCATTTAAATTTAGGCTGTGTCTATAGGCATTTTTGTTAGCGTCTAATAACAATGATCGTTTATTGGCAGCCAGTTACAAATAAAATGTCCTGATTTGATCCATATTTAGCCATGGCATTTATATGGTTCATCTGTTTGAATTTGTTCTTTGAATTAACATATTACAGTGTTTCGATTGCTAATTTGTTATCTAATTTAGCCTACCGTTTCGCATCACAAAGTTCACCCCTTACACACACTCTACGTGTTGGTTGTGCATACAAACACACCCACTGTGGCACGCATGCACACGCACGCGCTTATACACACAAACTCTCACTCACGCCCACGCGCTGACAGTCAAAGCTCGTGAGAGGGGGAAATGCACCACTCTCTGCGTCTTTGCGCGGAAAAAAAGTTCCAGTCGTGTAGGCTCTGCAAAAAATGAGTTACTAAAGCAACTTGTTAGGTTGTAACTGCAAACACTCTGGGTTGAAGATAATATATTCATGTTTTAGTGTTGTTTAAAAGAACCCAGAGATATCCCTTAACGTTCCCGTTGAGGAAGAAGAGGTTACGCTCCTTTTGGACCTGGCAGCAAGAGTTTATGTACCCGGACATCATCAAGGGCAAAGATAAACTTTTTCAGAGGTGTGGAATTTATCTTTTTTAAAGAGAGAAAATCAAGACTGGCACGGCTGCAAAGCAACGCTTTTCAACAACCACTGGTAAGTGCACATGACACCCTATCTTGAATGTGAGATAATGCAAGTGAAGGAATTCGTTCCACCTCGGGGTTGCAAGCCATGGGTGAACTTCAGCTTTAGTGCAGTTAGATGGAGAGGCATGATAAGTGATGCTCTGGCAGGTCCCACCTTGACTTTGCAGTTGATAATAATATATCGTTAACACTGAGACAAACGGGACAAGGACAACTTTACAGTTAGAGCGTGTAATGTACATTAACACTTGTATTATAAGCAGGAAATAAATCATGGCAACGAAATTTGCTTTCAAAACTAACTAATTTTATTGAAATACAATATAAATACTTTTAAAATAATCGTGTAAAGTCCCGGAAAGTAATGTAATTTTGTTTTAAGATTTGCATTTAAATATGTATTTATTTAAAGAGCATTTAAAGCCCAAGTATTTAATAATTATATTATTTTACTATCTTCAGTTAGGCTAATGCAATTTACAAGTATAAACATTTAAATTGACCATCTGAAGATAAGAACATCTTGTCATATTGTAAAATATTGATTTAAAAAGTACCATAACAGTTTATAAAATTAATACATCAATAATCTAAATTTCATTCACCTCAGCTAAAAAACATAGGCCTAGGTAACACGAAAATAAATAACATTATTAAGAAATCCGTATACACGCAAGACTTGGAGATAATCATGGTTCTATCCCTAATATTAAACGAACAGAGTAACTATAAATCAAATTTTAAAGAAAAAACGAAAACAAAACCTATTTTCTAAATATTTTCTTCAATTAATCTCTAGAACAAATTAAAAAAAAGATATTAGTATAATGGCAAGCTCTGCTTTTGTTCTATTTAAATAGACTCAAATAAATTTCTAATAGAAAAATACATTCCAAAAATCTACACACACATTTTGCATGTTTTTCTCTGTTAATGCGCTTTATTACTGAAATTGCATTGATGTAGTCAAATATAAAATTTTATTGTGTCAAAACAAGTGTAATATTGTGTCTTACCTTTTTTGTTTTAACGGAATTTTATTCACACATTTTATTTAGGCATTTGTATAAAATTCGCTTAAAATTACACACCTTCAAAGTTATCGAGTCTGATTTAGAGGCCTAAATCAAAACCGAACGGATGGCATAATCAACACACTCATAACGAAAACAAAACCTTCACCTTTTAGGCTACTCTGGATTGTAAATTTAGACACTTATGTAAAATAATTTAGTAATTGGTACTAGTATGTCAAAATAATATTTAAAGCAATAACTTTTGACTTCACACAAAATGCGCACTACTGCGTACATCCAAAAAAGGCACAAATTTAATTTCCAGACTCTCAAGTCTTTGACTAAAGGCACAGATGCGAGGCAGGTGAAATAAAGGGAGGGTTGAGGTAAAGCGTTGCATTCGGAGAGAGAAAAATGGAGAAGGAAAACGGTTAACAGCAGGATTGCATGCAAATTTCCGACTGAAATTATCATAAGCAAACAGATGAAGCCTGGGCTAATAAAGGCCCATCTGTGTTACTTCATATCGGGTTAGTTTAGAGCTGCGATAATGAATTTTGTAATATCCAACCGACAGACATCTCAATCAGACACTAATCCCTTGATTTTACCGCGGAATCACTCAACTTCTAGCGCTCAAACTGCTCTCTCACCCTGAAACACACACACACAGCGCACTGTCTCTCCTCTTTGTGCGTTGTTTTCATGCGCGTTTGGAGACACGAGTCTTAATTAGGAGGAACTCGAGCAAGCGCTAAGGGATTTCAAAACAAATGATGAGGAATGTGCTCATCCTATTACAGATAGGAACTATCCAATATATCACAGTAGATTTGAAATAAATCATCACTGAGTGGCCCATCCGGTCAGACACACATTTAAAAATAAAGGTTGTAATACAGGAGATTTTGAAGATCAGAAGAACCTCAGTTCCCCCGAGAAACGTTGCTAAAAGAGACACTCTTTTTAGTGTGAACAGTATTTAAAAATACAAAGAGAATGTTCCGTTGTTAACAACCTATGTGGAACTGTAAGATTTCGTTGATGTTAAATGTTCTTCATTGAACTTCAATGCCAATAAACAATCTTTTTTGTTTATAAACCAAACGTACTCAAACAAAAGCTGACCTACACTATTACTGTTGACATACTATAAACACTGTATATATTTGATACACGTGCCTAACACTTAAAATAAGCTTTTCTCTTTATTTCACAGGTAAACAACATATAACCTACTAAATGGACTCCCACTGCCGCAAACTTGCATCAACGTGTGCTCAATTAGGTAAGATATTGGTGAATGACAACTCCATCTCCTTGCTAGGCCTTCAGAAAAAAATTTAATTTATTATCAAAATTGATTGGATTTGTTTGGCCTTTACATAAAATTATCTGAGGTAGAAAACGCGCTCATGAGGGTGTAAAACACCTTTGGTGTTTGATATGACTTTTCATTGGGAAAAGCGGAACCATTAGACGTTTATAGTCAAAGATGGACATCTGCTGGTAGGACAGGATCATACAAGGGTATGTGGAAAGGTCTTCGTAATGCCGCGTAGCAGCTTCTTCAGATTATTTTGGGATTGTAAAGCCTCTGATTTTAAATGTTCTCTAAATTATCTTGAAAATTATAAGACAAAATGCTCGGTTATAGCCTAAAACGTAGTCCATTGCACTGGAGTAATCATGTGGGTCCTCGATAAAATTTGAAAAACATTCATCTCATCTTTCACATGTTCATTAATATGCTAATTAAAATACAGATTTAATTGAATTATAAATAGGTGTAATATACGTGTATCAAGTGTAAAAAAAAACAATACAATTAAATTAGCATAACAATAAAAATAAATTGAATAACCCGCCTCCTCTAGCAGTTTAAGAATTTGTCGCATCAGAACAATTTTTACAGAAACTCAGACAAAATTAAGGGCTAATAAAAGGTTGATACGCAATGCGTGTACGGCTTCTATATCATCTGGCATCTTAATTAAGCTAATTAAAGCAAATAAGAATAAACCACAAAATCTACTTAGTCGCATTTGTTTGCCTTTCTTTTCTGCTTCTCACTTTGCTGATACACAAGATAAAAGTAGAAAATGAGCATCAAAATGCAAACAGCAAAGTAAAGGGAAAAGGCATTCGAGAGACTTGATTACCGACAATCTCGTCTCTTGTGCGGTAATATATGCAACGCTTGTTAGATAGACTCGGGGGAAAAGTAAATGTGTAATGAAAGCCTCCTCGTGAGGAGGAATATACTAATGGAAGAATCTAATGTCCTCTTAATCCTATGGAAAAGGCTTTGTCGTCTCCCTTATATTGACTGAATTGGTAATTAATGGCTCTGTGGTGCGCCATGGCCAATAATCCACAGCAGGCAGTGAGAACGCTCTGAAGCATTTTGAGGGTCCACAATAAATACAGAGCAATAATCTAGTCCACATATTTCAATGCGTTTAACAAAAATGCACTTGTGCCATTTTCAATAGAATTTCTGTGAGTAAAAAATGCGTAACACCTGTCATTATTAAGCACATTTTAGTGGATGTAATTATGATTTTACATGAATAGTTTGTGTTTTCAGATGGTAGTACAATCGGTTTAAAATGAATAAAAATAGATTCCCTTGCGAATAGCGATAGACTTTTACGTTCAAAAAGGGGAATAAATGGCAATGATAAAATGAATAGCAAGTGTTAAAAACAGGCTGAAAAATATTTTTTAATAATGTTCTGTGTCTAAGCACTAGTGCAATGAATACGAGGTCACATCTAAAACACCTGTACATACAAGATTTGTTGGTTCTATATATTCTCCATATTAAATAATATCCAGTACGAAAAATGTGAACTGAAAAAATGTCGTAGATAAGTCGGTCGGGTCGTTTTCGTAAGCAGTTGAGTACCCTTTCCCCCCTTAGTATGGACTTGATTTTGCAGGACACACACACACACAAAAAAAACTTTCTGTGGATCGCCAAGATACAATTAAAGTAATTATTTGATTGTTAATTTAACTTTAATCACAAAAGCTTTAATTTAGCAGTTTTCAAGATTGAGATCGGTTTATCCAAGTTTACTTTATATATATATATATATATATATATATATATATATATATATATATATATATATATATATATATATATAACCCATTTGCTTTGATATTTTCAGTCGAATGACTACAAAAAAATACAATCCTAAGTAACGCAACGAGAAAGGATTTTTCCTTCTCATCTCAAAAAACACCTAACCTGTAAAACTAACAATTCAAAATATACACAATTTTATTTGAAAATGAAGATCGGGAAAATTATAAATAAATTAAAGTTGTAACATAAATAAATGTTTGGCATTTAAATAAAATGCGCAGTTTTATATGATTTGGCATGTAAATGACGATGGCGATGTTTTGAAGAAACTTGACACAAGGTGAAGGAGCTGGAAGTCGTTAAAGATGCTCATTTAAAATTCTTAAGCAGATGAGCGTCTTATCAGATTAAATGTAGCCTACTCAGTAAAAGAAAAGTGGGTGCTTTCTCTCCCGCGAAATAATCACGGGCCGAAAGTGTATACCTCGCCAAAGTAATATACCTCGCCAAAGTGCTTTTAATCCTTATATTAAATTATATAAAATGAATACAAGCCTGAATAAACTTAACTTTAACTTGAATATTTTTTTCCTAATATGATTTTTTTTTATTAGGCCTCTGTTTATCATTTATGATTAAACTTTTATATGGGACAGGTTTACTTGAAAAGAAAGAAAGAAAGAAAGAAAGAAAGAAAGAAAGAAAGAAAGAAAGAAAGAAAGAAAGTAAGAAAGAAAGAAAGATAGAAAGAAAAACAAACAAACAAACAAACAAACAAAAACAAAAGTATTTGACACTGTCAATTCAAGCTAATGAATAATAATAGATAATAATAATAATAAATAAAACATTTTGTGCAGTTGTTTAGTCTGTGTTTGTTAAGTCTGGTGAAATTGTTTTATTGACGACAGAACTCTCTAAAGTTACAACGCTAATAATACGCTTTATTTTGTTATAATAGCTGCTGAGAAAACCTAACCTGGGTTTTGAGCGTCAGGTGTACCATGATAAATGTTAAGTGATGTTAAATCAAGTGAATGCACGGTTTTTTTATTTACATGTTTTTAGAGAGATAGAAAAACATCTCAAACTGCATAGGCTGCATTTTCTCATTTCTTGGGCCGATTCATAGTCGGTTTGCCATAAAAGCTGACATGTATAGGGTTTAATGTTCCGTCAGATTGAGGGCGGAGTTTGTGACGTCAGGACGCATAGAGCAGCTCGGTTGGACAGATAGAGGGACAGCTGAAATGAAGAGCGAGGGCTGTGATGTGCAGGAGAGTGTGTGTGTATGCAAGTGGATATAATATCACATACCTGTCCCTGTCACTCTGGCTCTCCTTGCTCTCGGCTGAAACCGAGATATCTTTTACCCAGTCGAAACGGGAAAAAAATCTTTCCTTAACACTGGGCTTGTTTAATCATATTTTTTTATTATTAAAGCCGTTTCAGGAGTGTCGCTTTTAGTGGTTTAAATGAGAAAGGAGCACTGGCAACGCTTGCCGATACTTCACTGCTGGACACATTCGTTTCTTTCTTTCTTTTATTTCTTTTATTTATTTATTTATCTGTATTTGTGACCTGCGCTGAGGAAGTTATAGCTGCTTGCGAGCCGTCGGTAAATCGCTTGTCTTATCCATGACCTCTATGAAGGATCCGTTGAGTTTGGACCACCATCATCACAATCACCACGTTACCGGGAGTAAACACGCGCCGCTTTCGATGGCCTCTAGTCTGCAACCGCTTCAGCGGTCTGTGGACTCGAAACACAGGCTGGATGTGCACACGGTTTCAGACACCTCCAGTCCAGAGTCCGTAGGTAAGACCTGAGGAGATTTTTAACTTGAGTGTTTTTGGTTTTGGTGTCAGCTATCATTAAGTGTTCTTCTCGAGAAATAAACATTTTAAAACTTCGCTCGGTGTGAAAACAGAGTGGGTTAGCCGACAGAGCGAGCCATGTAAATATATCAAGAGGTGGAACAGGCAGTTGATTCGTAGGGCTATTGAAATGAGCTACATAAGTCATACCCTTTGACAGGACTTTATTTACTTAAATTGTTTGTGAAAATGTGGGCTTCACGAATGTTTACACAGTGGCAACTGCGCTTTGTACAGAATAGAGCAAACATTCCCAAACTACAATGTCATTGCTTTCGTGTGATAAAAAAATGCATGCTGCATTTATGGCGGTTAAAATATTTTCTAAATCCTGCATTAGCATTTGAACATTGAATTTTTACCGGTACTGTTGGCTTTGCCAGAAAAAAGGATGTTAGGATGTTAAAACGAGCGTTATAATAAATTTAATTCAGGAACATCATTAATTAAATTTCGCCCGTTAAATTGTTACCAGGGAACCAACTTGTTATGTTACCATGATGTCAAATATCTTCAATTCAATAAAAAGGAATTAGAGATTTGTCTCCCTCACGCACACTTCTCTAATGTGTCAAAACCGTGCCTGAAGCTTGTTCCTCTGCAATTAAATATTTGTTTAAAAAGAGTGTTTCCTTTTGCATTACAGAGAAAGAAAAGGGACAAAGTAAAAACGAAGATTCGAACGATGACCCGTCGAAAAAGAAGAGACAAAGGCGGCAACGAACGCATTTTACTAGCCAGCAGTTACAGGAACTGGAGGCCACTTTTCAGAGGAATCGCTATCCGGACATGTCGACTAGAGAGGAGATCGCCGTTTGGACAAATTTAACAGAGGCCAGAGTCCGAGTAAGTTTGATAAATAAAATTACAAGAAAATAATATGTGATATAACCCTAAATATTTTTATAGTTTTTCTTTTTGTGTGTGTGTGTGTGTGTGTGTGTGTGTGTGTGTGTGTGTGTGTGTGTGTGTGTGTGTTTGAATTAAATCTATTATTTACTATTAAAATTCAACATAGCCTATCAGCTTAATGCTGAATTAAACGTAACGTAATTTTAGTGCATATTTCATAGATCCACTAACAATAAAAATAAAGATATATTTCTGAAATATATATTTTTTTGCGTTGTTGTATGTGTTTTACATGTAAATATTTTGTTCATACATTAACTTACTTTTTAGCTAGTCTAATATGCAGGCGCTGCATTCTATGCTTGCTAATTTTCCATAACGTTAATTGGGTTGCATGCTAAATATGATTTTGTTTAATTGTTTAAATAAAAAAATCTGTCATTGTATGTTAAGAGGCTAATTATAGGTGAGTCAAATTGTTTGCAATCAACACGAAATAAAGACTGACGCCCAAACGATGACTGACTTTAATGGAGTCACACAGTCGCCTTTTAAGAGGTGCAAAGCTTTTATTTTGTGATTGTCATTCTCGTGTTGTATATACTTAGGGTTAGTGTGTCTCCGCCTGCTTAGCGAGAATACACATTTAAAGCGTCGGGCGCTAAAAGTCTGAATGTGTATTGGGATTCCCGGGATCAGACAAGATTCCGGGTGACTGATAAAAAGTGACTTAATTAGGGAACCTAACTGAGTTTGACACCACCACCCATATCATTTATCTAGCCTACCTAAAACAAACGGAGCAGTCCGTGTTGTTCTAACTCGATGACAGTCTTGCATTGCTTTAGATAGACTAATTAATTATGTAGGCTAATTCTTTTCTACAATTGTTGCAGGTGTGGTTCAAGAATCGACGGGCAAAATGGAGAAAAAGGGAGAGGAATCAACAGGCTGAGCTGTGTAAAAACGGTTTCGGCCCTCAATTCAACGGACTTATGCAGCCCTACGATGACATGTATCCCAGCTATACGTACAACAACTGGGCTGCAAAGGGACTCACGTCGGCCTCTCTGTCTACCAAAAGCTTTCCTTTTTTCAATTCCATGAATGTCAATCCGCTGTCGTCCCAGACCATGTTCTCTCCACCTAACTCTATCTCTTCAATGAGCATGTCCTCCAGTATGGTTCCGTCTGCTGTCACCGGTGTACCAGGATCAAGTTTAAACAGCCTCAATAACTTGAATAACCTCAGCAACCCCTCTCTAAATTCGGGGGTTCCCACGCCGGCGTGCCCTTACGCCCCACCGACGCCTCCGTATGTTTACCGGGACACTTGTAACTCCAGTCTTGCCAGTCTGAGACTGAAAGCCAAGCAACACTCGAGTTTTGGATACGCGAGCGTGCAGAATCCGGCCTCCAATCTCAGCGCCTGCCAGTACGCAGTGGATAGACCGGTGTAAGAGACGACTGTAGAATTTACAATCCGAATCCCAGGAACAAGAGACTTCACTTTTTGTTTCAATGGCACTAGAAGAATAAACCACTGAAACGCGTCCAATCCTGTGATGGAATGTCAAGCGGGAACGGAAGGCAAAGGCTCCATTGCTAATAAGATTTGTTCTCTACACTAGCAAGTGCACACTAGCCAGTGAAGAGATTAGGATACCACAATATTTAACAACAAAAAAAATCTCATTTATTTTGACGTTTCAATTTTGGACAGTAATTGACTGAACGGTTGTATATAGGCTATACATATATCTTAATATCATCTCCAATTTGTAGAAGCGAAAGCTCTAACTCTTAAGCATTTTCAAGAATTCAGTTCAACACAGCATGTGGAAAACTTACAGGAATCATGTCTTGCTTGCGATCAAGGGAATGTACATACTAAACGCACCAGTCGTGTGTGATATTATAAATTTATTATTAAATGTCTGTGTGAATATAGATCTAGAATAGCAACCCTGGGTAATAATACGCAAATGTTTCTGCGAAATGAACTTGGTTTTTGCTCTGTGTATAATATTTGGTACGGAATTTTTGTTTCGTTTTTCAACATCCCAAAAATAAACTATTGTGTTTTATTTAATGGAAGTAAATATATTGTTCTAAAACATTTCAGAACGTTTTCTTCACAATTATTGAATTCAATTATTGATGGTTGTATGTGGCACACAATTGTGGCATTTCTACGGTTTATAAAGACTCAGAGGGAAGGAAAAAGTATCTAATACACATCAGCTTGACATGAGTCCGGTGAAGAGGGCGAGATGTCCCGAGCAGATTAGGAGTCGAATATACAAGACTGACTAGAGGCTGGGCCTCCAGTGATCAGCGACGCTTGAAATAACAGCAATAAGATCAGGCCAGGATGGACCACACATCACTGGACCATCTGCCAGCTGAACTCCTTTAAAAAAATTAATATGAAGTGATACATGATTGTCCAGTATTAAGCTCAATAGAACGTGTGCAAGTTGAAAACAAGGCTCATGTGTCATATGAATTATGGATTACTTAGAATAATATATAAACCGCCATCCCACTGTGCAAACAAAACTGCATTTTTAGCAGACTCGCAGTAGGCGCGTGTAATTACAAGTGATCGCGACAATGAGTGTCAATTGACTGGCTGTTTGTAAACAAAGAAATCTCACAGCGTCAAATTACTGTATGGAAACGGTTTTAAAATAGAGTTAAGAGGATTAAGGGAAATGTATCGCCCTAATAGAACATAACTGCGTTTGTGATTGGTACAGTTATTTAACTCCAGCTCAATAATAACTTATTGTCTTTCACGGGAAATCCTTATACTGCACTATTGTTAGCCGCCCTCTGTTGTCCATCATTAACTTCGCTGAAGTATAGCGGATAAAGTACTTAATAGAACGGACAATGACATTCATTGAAAGCCAATCAAAACAAAGGCAGGTATGCCACATAGACAGGCGTTTGTATGAGTGTGATTCTATCCATGAAATTCATGTCACAGCGCGTACAGAACAGGATGAGAGAAGAACATGTACTTTGAGTAGTGTGGTTGGAACAACACAAGCGTGCTGTTAAACATGAATACTCTCATATAGTGATGATTAATGGAGCAGACAGAACAAGGGTGGAGAAAACAGTAAAATTGAATGCTACAATTACATTTATTCGAAATAATAGCGTGCTGTTATTGAATGAAAACTAAAACGCCTTCGCTAATTTATAGCGTCTCCGTTAAAACAACAAATGCTTGTCTAAAATCCACAGATCGTAAATCATCCGTTTTCAGGTGTACATGCTCCTGGTTCTCTCAGTGAAGAGCTCTCAATCTAACCAGGCCTAAATTATTCATTCCCTGCAACATGACGGTCTGGGGTCCCAATACACATCTCAATAAACACTGTGAGCGGGGGGCCCACGGGAGCAATACATAGCAGATTCAGAGAGGAACCCTTCATTCGGCCTAAACACAGCCGGGAAAGCTGTTGCCTCAATTTTCTAGAAGACTGCAGAAAGGTAAGGCATTTTAATGCGCATTATCAGCATAAAACTAAAAACATGCCCTTGCATGACGAAGAGAAGCACCAAAAGTTTGCATGCATATAACTAGTTTTCTTTATGCTAAAGACTTTCACGCAGAGTTTTGGCTGGCTGACTTGTTGGTTCTTTTATAAACGGAGTAGTCTTGTTCCATGTCTGCTTTAAGACTACTTTAGTTATTTCTCCACCTTAAAATATTTTAAAATGTGCACTGACCTGAAAAATGTCTTCAATTCCACCTTGAATTCGTGTTCGATATAACATACAAGTAAGCATTGTTAGAGAACTTTGTTTTATATTATGCGTGTTGTGGCCGACTACGTTTTTTTTTAAATATATAATTAATATATCCACTTTTACTAATTTCAACGCTTGTTTTTTTTTTTCTTTCAAATAACACAAAAATCTGTCTTTTTGACCAAACAGACTTCTTTAAATAATAGGCTACCCATACGCTATATTCAAGCCGATAGTCTTTCCACTTACTACTGTATTAGATAATGGTTTAAATTCTGATTTGCATAATAATGCGCAGATTTGTTATTCAAACTGTAAATGGTTGCTTATTTGCATTGTGTGTCGCAGCCTTTACAAAAACATTGTCACTTAAATTATTATTATTATTATTATATGTCACTTATACGCATATTTCATTTCGGGAAATAGTATTTAACAATACAAATAAACAAATAGTATTATTTCAGCGGCATTTCTTTTTGATAAATGATCAACAGGATGCACCAAATAACACCAAAAACTATCTTCGTCTTCACAAAATTCGTAAAATCCCCCATACTTGATAAAATTCACCAAGGTGTATAATAATTCGGGACATTTCTGAATAATTTAGTCAATCAAAACTTGACTGAAATCATATATTAAGTTTTTCCAGCAATTAAAGGTTTGAATGAATGGATTAAATAGCCTATTTAACAGTCCATTACTGATGAAAACACATCGGACAATGTTAGGTATTAAGTAACAGGCCCATGTAAACATCTGTTTACCAAAATTGCAAAAAAAAAAAAATAATAATAATAACTGAAAAGATAATCAATAGTATGTAGGTTTTAATTTGCTCATATCTTCAAACTTTGTGATAGTGGCCAAAGATCACTCGTCAACAAGCCAGCTTTATTACATTGATAAACTGGACTGCGATGTTGTTGCCACCCATCTTGGCAAAAGCACAGTCTGTCCAATCAGATGAAAGAGATTTAAGCGCAAGGTCGGGGAGGAATGACCTCGCACATTCTCTCGCAGAGCTTACCTATAGTTCACCATAAAAACCTGCACTGACTGACCTGCAAAATATTCAGAGCCGAAAAAAATTTATCAATTTATATATTTCAATAGGCGGATTAAGAAATATTTTCTTTTTTTACAATAAGTAATTACAAATAATTTTAAATATATTTTTTGTATTTATATAGAACTGGCACTGGCCTCTTTTGGGATGATTGCTGACCTTGTCCAAAACAGCTGTCCACATAATTTATGTAAAGGTTTGTGTGTCAGTTCCAAAATGTAGCTTAATTTGATTATGAACTTTCCATTTTCCTTAAGTACAGAAAACAATCTTCATTCAAACTTGCACATCTCATTTGCAGTCTTAAAACTGGATTATATTGGCCATTAGCCACCACGCTCTCAGCATTGGCACTGGCTATTGGAAACTCACTACTGAAAACAATTACAAAATGCTACTACTATTACACAACCATTACAAAGTTATTTAAAAGCAAGATGTCTCAATTAATAGCATCTGAAACGTGTCTCCCTGTTAAATCAGGCGTTCACATTTGCAGAAACTAAGCTGGTACAGGCCTAAAGTGAATCTATAGACCCTCCAGACAGTCATTGTGTGTGCAAGTTAGTAAGCAAACACTGGACAGGGTAAGCTTGAATTGTTGGAGAAAAATGTATGGGAGGATTATGGGTGTGGAGGTGTGTATGGAAAACCTCAGGTGTTGCTTCCCATTTAAAGGCACAAATGAGAAATGACAACAATTTAAAGAATTTTTGATCTGTAAAATTAAAATGGCACTGACTTCATTCACTCCATATGTACAAAAGGAGAATATTCAATTTTGTTTTCCACTGAAGAAATAAACTCCTACAAGTCTACAAATTTCAGAGTGTTCTTTACATAAACTGTCTCTTAGGTAAACTGTCATGATTATACTTCGTCTATAAGGCAACTATGTGTCTGTACCTGCATAAGATGTGCCTTTCATTTCACACATTCTGGTTCTTTGTGTGAATATTTGTTCTTTTGTGTGTTTGGAAATCATGCTGGAATATTGCTAACCTACATGTCTATGCTTTCATCTGTGCTTGTATTTTGCTGGTCAAAGTGTGTGTCTACCTCTCTTAGGATGTGCCAGAGCTTGTGTGTATCCGTGTATATATCCTATCCCTTGACATGCTTGAGTGTGTTTTTTTTATGCATTCAGGTGTGTGTGTGTGTGTGTGTGTGTGTGTGTGTGTGTGTGTGTGTGTGTGTGTGTGTGTGTCTGACACGGCCCTGCCTTTGATGAGCTGAGTGTGACGCCGGGACAGCTTCTCTGGCCGCAGGCGTGTGCTATGTGGGAGCGTGTGAACGATCAGACATGGAGTAAACTTCCATGACTCAGACACTTCCTGCTCTCTCAACTTATATTAAAAAGAAACATCGTAAATGTTTTGACTCGAAAATCGATTAGGAATTGCTCACAGTGAGTAGCATGAAATAGCAGATGCGCGGATGTGTGTGGAATTAACAAAGATAGTATCAGTGAAGAGGCCCTGCTGCAACCTTTCTCTATTGTTTAGCAATGGGAAGAGAGTGACGGAGGACTGATGATGTAATGCAGTGCTTAAAGCCTATAAGCTGTCCAGACTGCAAGAAGCTTTTTGATGCAAAGAGATACAGAACATTTTCCTCAAATAACAGTCGGGATTCTGCTCTAATGATATTGTGAGGAGAATGTAATGATTGTGGATATGCTTTAACAAAACATTTCGAGACAAATAAGCCCAATGTAAGACCCCAATATACATATAGTAACTACTTTTCATTAGAATTACAATATCTACAATGTATCTGCCCTCGAGTGACTGAACACTGAATGGAAAATTTTACTGTGGTGTTCAGCATGATAACTGAAAATGACATTACATTAGTGCACTGATCGATTGAGCTTGAAATACAGTGATGCATGTATGCTAAGCTGCAGTTCGGTATGTAAAGTGGTTAAGTTTCATCATCAGCACATTATTTGCATAAAATAATAAATAATAGTCTATATACAGCACACAGTTTAAATGTCACCAGCAATATGCATTTCCCAACTAACTGCGTGTTTTCTTATTTGTTTTTTGTTAGTTTGTTTTTTGCAACCATGCATACTAGGGCTGCACGATAAAATCGAATATTAAGATATTTTTTTGTGATAAATATTGTGATATGAATAGTTTGACAAGATGGTTTGAATAGCTCTATTTGACAGTTTTCTGAGACTAACAGTATTCATGTACAGAAACTGAATATCACACTGCAAAAAAAATTCTTACTTTGCTTTAACACGTTTCTAGTTCAAATATCAAAAAAAAATTAACAAACCCAGCAAAAATAAAAAGTTTTCCCTGTCAAAAGGAATAAGTGTATATTAAGAGTTTTTTTTTTTTTTTTTTTTGCTTGTTTTAGGAAAATTATTTGCAAGTGGAGTAAGTGAAATAATTTAGTTTTCACTTTGATGTAGATATTTGGACTAGAATCAAGACAAACATTTTAGTAAGAAATGTTTTTGCATAAATCATATAACTTCCATATAAATACATCAATTAAATACAATTCTGTGGCTCCTGGTCAACTATAATTCAGACTGCATGGACATTGCATATCTTTGCGATGTGACTATTGTAAACGTGCACATTGCAATATCCATGCTACAACGATATATTGTGCAGCCCTAATACATACAGTGTGTCAACAAGGTGTCAACACTAGCTACATTTCCATCCACATATTTTAATGTGCATTTTGGACATTGGCATAAAAAAAAGTTGATGGAAACGTCAAGATGAGCATACTTTTCGAAAATGTGCATTTAAAATGCGCAAAACTGAGTAGGATAAACGTTTTATTCAATAAGAAAAAATGCACAAAAACTACATCGCAAACACTTTTATTGAACAAATTCCAGTACGCGCATTTAAAAAAGGTCATGTGATTTTTTTATAAGAATCATGTAATGGTAAAAATGTGCCTGAATGGACAAACCAGAAGGCTGAGCACACTGTAAAATATCTGAAATGTTGTTTTAGTCATTCTAAAATGCCTTAACCATCTCAGTATTAGTGTTAAATTATTAATTACCTGCAGAACTGTCAAGAGCTTTTGTGCGCCACATCTCACACCTTCAAACGCCACCACGCGTTCATTGCGTGTCGGCATCATCTTCTGAGGAGCAAGTCACTTATTAAATAAGGAATATATTCATGCAGCTACTTGATATTTGGCACCAGCTAATCAGGAATTGATGATTTTGTTCTCTTTGACTCGTTGGATGGAAACGCTGCTTTATTTGCACGTCTTTTATGCCATATTGCCATTTTTAGATGGAAACATAGCTGATGACCGCTTCCCAGTTGGAAAAAAACAAGTAGATGCATTAATAAAATGCACACATATGACGTATACTTTAGCTTTTAGCAAGCAATGGACAGACAACTTGCAAAAGAACTGTTTTTTGCACCACTCAGTTAGTCCACAAAAAGTTAGCACTGAATCAGGCTGTTGCTTCCCAACTGGAACGAAAACAAGAAAACTAAAGAGAAAACAAAGACAACAAACTACCGAAGACAGCAAAAACACGAGACACTTGTATGAAAGGATTAAACGTCACTTAACTCTTTTTTTAAACAAGTACAGCAACATTTTTGCGACTAAGAACTTCTGAAGAGAGAAAACAGTCACTGGAAGAGGATGTATCTTTCTAAAGCAAAAAATGTTCATGCACACTATCAAACGATGTATACTTTGTACTTCGATTTCTGATTTCTAAGAATAGGAAAAAAACAGTTTAATAAAGAATACCTGTTGTCTATTCTCTCATAAACAATTCAAAAGGAACTAGAGAGTCATAGGAAGAACACACCCTAAAACTGACAAAAAATATAAATATGCACTCTTTTCTATTGACCTGTCAAATAGCGTTTACCATGCAAACTTTAACTTTTGAAAAGCAGCTGCATGCAAACACACACACACACACACACACACACACACACACACACACACACACACACACACACACACACACACACACACACAAAAATCTGACAAACACTGTACAGGGGTTTTTGAATTGTGAGTGCCTAAAGAATTAAGCGAAAGGTAGGAAGAGGATGAATGACAGCATTGTGTAGCAGTGTTAACAGTAACAAGAAACTGCAGCTCTCTCAACCTCATCACCTTTCACAAATATGACATCATCATTCGCTTAAGCCTTTACACATCAAATGTGAAAAGGTCAAGAGCATTAAGCCTCAAGCAAGACAACACTGTTACTACACCACTGACTAACTGACTAGGTGCTATACTGAATGAGAGAATATTCAAAATGCCAGTCGTAATAAACAAATCATGCTCTGAGAACATAAAGCGCCAAGCTCAGATGCAAGATGTTCGGAGACCCTGCCTGGATGTTGTATGTTAATGCATACACCACTGTCTTCATTTGACGTTTAATCTTTCATAAGGGGAGACATGTTTGAACCCGCAGGCGGCCTAATAAAGCAGTGAAAGCAATCTGCTGCGATTCTTTTTCAAACATCCTCCTCATTACGTGCCACAGTTTGCGCTCGAAAATCCTGCTAATCTCAGTGGAAGGATGACGTGAGCTGATCGACATTAATGGATCTGTAGATGCAGAAGTGCAAGAACACAGGGCAGAGAGTTTAAGAGGAAAGTATAGAAGAACGTTAACTCTGTCCTTCAGCTCTGTTGTGTTATTTGTCGATGTAATGCTTTGATTGTCAACTGACTTCCTTTCTTTTTTGAACTTCTTACTGCAGCAGGTGCAGTTTTACTTTAGAGATGATGCTGTGGAAATTTCACTATGGGAAATCTGTGCAATTCTAAAGAGTACCAAATTAGGTTTTGTTTAGCTTGAAAAAATAACAAAACCCCTTTTGTTTTGAAAAAAAAAAACTATTTTTTATGGTCACTTATAGCAAGGGTTTCCAAACATTTCAGTCCACGACCCCTAAAATAACAATGTCACTGACCCCCCAAATATTCTCAGAGGGGGTTAAAAATATATAAACCTTGCACACAACGACGAACACATACCAATAGACCCAGGTCTATTCATCATTTAATTTCAGAGAACACCATTCTGAGATTATCATCCATGATCAGTTGTTCGAAAGACCCACCCCCCTACTGACAAAGTCCAGAATATGGCCCATATACGAGTGCTCATTTGTCCGACGTTTGACAGTATGCCATCACAAATTGTGAAAAAAAAAAAAAAAACATAGAAGAGACAAATTTAATTATTAATGATCATTTAAATGGACAAATTCTGACTGAGAAAATGAGCAGGCCAGTTTGTTATGTCTATAGGCTACAGTTTTTAATTAAAAACAAGTTTTAAAAGATTCCTTATTGTTTTAATGATGGATGATAATAAATTAGCATTTAAAAAAAAAGTTTTTTTTTTAATTTTATATTAACTATCTGACAAGATAATGCAAAAATTAGTGGATAAAATGTCACAAAAATGCAATTTCTGAACCTTATAATTGAATAGAAAATAAGGCAAATAACTGCAAAAAGATTAATAAAAAAAAAAAAAAACTTTTTAATAGGCTGGCTACGGGCCTGTAATGTATGTTTAAAAATGGAAAGGCTGATGGCTTTTTATTTGCATGTTGTTTTTTAATGTTAATTATTAACATGTTAACATTGTTACTATTAACTACAATTTTGTTCTTTAGTAGGTTATGGATAAAATATAGTAACTCTATTGAATTAGATTTTTGGAAATTGCCAAGCGCCCCCCGTCATTGTCCCGTGGATTTTTAGTTTAAACACTTTTTTGAAAAGCATGCAGTTGGGTTCTATTTTTAATTGAGGTGAA